CACAGGAGACATTCTTTTAAAAAGGGGAATTCCAATATGTATAATTTATGCATGCTGCCATTTCTTCTAGGTTCATCAAAAGCCCAGAGCTACCAAAAACTCCACCCTGTGTCCATAGTTTCATTGACTTTTTGGTGTCTGTGAAGCTAAATATCTGATGATTTTGGAATGTTTGGAACCCATTCTCCATAGGTATGGATGGATGAATATATACTCACATATACACAATTCTTAACTACTGAAAATTATTTTGTTCTCTGAAGTAAGTTTTATGTGCCCTATTTTGTCTCTTCCAATCTCCTTATTTACTTTTTAAAATGTAAAAATCTTTTACATTTCAAATAAAAGTCTTCAAATAAAAATATGAAGTCTTTCAGATTATTTTGTTTTTTGTTTTTGTTTTTTTTTTCAAATTTCAACAGGTTCTCAGGGTTTAAAATGTTAAATTTAAATGATCAATAGAATAGGAAAGAAAATAGAGAAATTGAAAGAGGTAATTTATACTTCAAAATAATTTTCAGATTAATAATCATAGTTAAAATAAAGATGAAAATAAAAAGTGATACATGACTGGGGAAAAAATTATAAAAATTATAAAGAAGATAAATACAAATTATTCATAATCACACCACAAAATTAATATTTTTTTAGCATTTACTTATTTGTGTCTGTGTGTGTGTGTGTGTGTGTGTGTGTGTGTGTGTGTGTATGTTTAGGTCAGTTGGTTTAACTGTGTGGATCCCAGAATCAAACTCAAGTCATCAGAATTGTTGATAAAATGCCTTTACATGCTATTCTGTCTCATGAGTTCCTGAAGGTAGTATTTTGACATATATTTTTGTAATCTTTTCTTATAAACACAGGCTATTCTTTCAAACTTTAAACTAATACAACATGTATGCGATTTGACCTTCAGTATTTCAGAGTTACCTTTTCTTACATAAGTGAGGTAAAGATTTTTAACTTCATTTAATAGATCTTTAAAAAGCTTGGTGTTCTCTTTACAAGTTCTGAGTATTGTGACCATGACAGATCATGCTTGCCTCTGAGATGCTCTGCCAGCAGCTGACTGAGACAGAGGCAGACACACCCAACCATTGGACTGAAGTCAGAGACCCCTATGGTTGAATTAAGGGAAGGATTGAAGAAGACGAAGGGGAAGGCAACCTCATAGGAAGGAAGACCAGCAGTCTCAACTAACCCAGACCCCAGGGAGGTCCTAGAGACTGAGCCACCAAACAGGCAGCATACATGGGCTGACTGGAGCACTCCCACCCCCAAACATATACAGTAGAAGACGGCCTGGTCTGGCCTCAGTGGCAGAAGATGTGCCTAATCCTCCCAAGACTTGAGGATCCGGGGAAGGGAGAGGTCTGGGGGTAGGAATCACCCTCTTGGAGGCAAGGAGGAGTAAGATGAACTGTGGGAAGAGGGACTAAGAAAGGGGCATCAGCTGGAATGTAAATAAATAAAATGATAAAAAAAAACAACAACCCAACAACCTAACAAAAAATTGCCCAGTTTGAGCCCCTGAGAGGTGGAGGATGTCATTTCTTTTTGAGAATATAGGAAACAAGATCTTGACCCCATCAAATTGTCACCAACTGTCTGATGCTGCCTTGGGTCCCCAGGATGTGATTAATTCAGTATTAGTGTATAGTCAAAGTATAGAAAAAGTTATGAGGCCTAAAAAGTCTACTGAGAGCACATAGTTAATTTTATGGCAACCCACAGGATTGTAGAATTTCCAGTTACAAAAAACATAATCTTACTCTGCATGCCAAAGATCCCTAAAAATGATTTCTAAACTGAAAGGAACCTAGAGACAGATGCAGAGATGGAGATTATTAGCTCAGGGAGAAGAGAAAGTTTTTTTTTAAAAAAAAATGGAGTTAATCCCCATCATCTAAAAGAAATCTGTCTCTTTTTCTTTTCTAATTTCTAAAAGAGTTCTTTTAGGAATCCCACCATGATGAATGGGAGCCACAGCACTTACAGCCTGATATGAAGCGTAAATGTTATCAACAGTAGAACAAAAAGAAATAGCTTACAGAATGGAGCAGACTTATTTAATAATTCTAGTATAAGAAAAAATAAACCAAGCTAGCTTATATTTTCATGAGATAAAGTGTGCTCCTTCTCCCTGTGGATCAGTGTTGTAGTTGCAGCCATTGTCCTCTAAGACAACATTAGTTTGGCCAAATTTTAAACAAAATTTTGAATTTTCCACAGTGTTTTTGTGGGAAACACTTAGAGTATTGGAGTGGGCATTATTGGGGAAAGTTTTGTATTATGTATTTTTCCGTTGTGATAAAACATCAATACCAAAGCAATTTATAAAAGATAGAGTTTATTTGGGCTTACTGTTTGTCTAAGTCATTGCTCTGTTACTGTAAACAGATATCATGTTTAGGGCAACTCTTACAAAGGAAAACATCTAACTGGAGACTTACAGTGTTAGAGGCTTGATCCATTATCATCATGACATAAAACATGTTGGCACACATCAAACTGGAGCAATGGCTGAGAGCTACATCCTGATATGAAGGCCACAGGAAGAGAGAAAAGTGTGCCTGGCATGGCACTTGAAACCACAAAACCATCCCCAGAGACACATTTCCTCCAACATGGACACACCAACTTCAACAATGCCTTGCCTCCTAACTCTTCTAATCCTTTCCAATAGTGCACTCCCTAATGACTAACCATTCAAATACACGGGCCTATGAAGGTCATTCTTATTTAAGCCACCACATTCCACTCCTTGTCCCCCATAGGTTTAGAGCCATATCATAATGCAAAATACATTAAGTCCAACTTCAAAAGTCCCCATAGTCTTTCAGTCTCAACCTCATTCAAAATTCTAAAGTTCAAAGTCCCTTCTGAGATTCATGGCATTCTCTTAACTGTAAGACCCAGTAAAATCAAAATCTGAAAGCAAATGATATAATTTCAACACACAATGGCACAAAATATACATTACCATTCAAATAGAAAGAAAAAAAAAAGAACATAGTGAGGGAATACCGGACCAGAAGAAGACAGAAAACTGGCTGGGTAAATTCCATATTCTGCATCTCCATGTCTGATAAAGAACTCTTCAGATCTCCAAATCTGTTCAGCTTTGCTGACTGCAACATACTTCTCTCGGGCCAGTTCCACACGTAATCTGCAGCTGTCTTCGTCAGTCATCCCATGACTCTGGCATCTCCAACATAACGGAGTCTCCAATGAAATGCTGGTTTCACCTTCTTGTGATGGCCTCATTGGCCTCCATGCAAGGAGACTCTGAATACACACCTGGTCTCAGCTGCTTTCCTTAGTGGCAGAGGGAGGTTTCACAGCCCCTTTCTTGTAGCCCTTACTCTAAAGCCAGAATCGTGTGGCTGACGCTCCCAAGTTCTGCTGCTTGATGGGGCTGGAAATTGGCCTCCTCCTTCAGATACGTCTGCACCAGCTTTGGTTTCCATCACTGCTTAAGCTTCTCTTTAATGCCTTTCACACGTTCGAAGCTTAGCTAGATGGCAGTCTTGCTCTGAGGTCACCACTTCATTAATTCCATTGAGCACCAGTCTTCCCTTTAAATTTATTTCTAAGTACTGGATGTACTTCCATTACATTTCCTAGTACTCCTTTTCTCCTCAAACTGTATATTTGTATATCTCTTTGTTCTACTTGTTCCTTTCCAATTATGTGACAGTCAATATTAGGCTGTCTTGAAATCTCCAATGCCAACTCCATTAATCTCACATACTTCAATTTAGCCTCAGACAGATTTTTTGAACAAGGGCTAAAAGCATCCACATCCTCTTTTTTCTTAGACCCCCCTTATCCCCCTTTTCTTAGAACCTTCTTTCCCCTTTTTCTTAGAGAGCTTTCATGGGAAACTTTTTAGAAAGTGGAAACAAAAGCTGAAATCACTTTTTCAAAGTGGCTTTTTTTCTTCCTGCCACTTCAGCTAGCAGGCTGGAAGTTAGAGCTGTCCAGTTCCTGCAAAGATAGAACAAGAGATAGCTACTTTAATTAATCCGCTGCTGTTTTATGATGAGGTGCTAAACAGTTTCTCACCTCAGTGCAACTCAGACAGCAGGTCAGCTACAGAAGCAAAGTGACTTAGACTTGAGAAAGGTAAAGGTTTTACTATTAAACAGCAACCCTAAATATCTCCTAAGGGTAAGTATTACCCCCAATTGATATTCTTCCCCTCTGTTGCCTCAAGAAGAACCAGCAAGAAAGAAGTGCTGGGGCTGCACCTCCCCCCCCCACACACAGAATAATATTCAAAAACTGAATTAACAGAGGAAAACAACTTTATAGTTACCATCAGGTTGAAGTCCTATTTGAAACTGGTTGCCTTGAATTTACCCGCCAATTAAAACCCCTTTTGTGATTTTTCTTTCTCAAATTTCCTTGCTTTTGCTTTTGTTTTGTTTCATTTGGTTGAGTTTAGTGATAAGATCTTTATATGTGGCCCAGCTCATCTGAAACTTGTGTGTAGGAGGAGCTAAGGTGGGAGGAGTAAGGAGAGGAAGAGGAAAAGAAAGAGGAGGACCTAGGGAGAGATGGAGAAGGAGGAAGAGCCACGCAGGTATGGAGAGCAGTCGTGGGTAACAACTTAGATTTAGGTTAGCTAATTGGGAAACACCTCTAATTGTATGAGCATATTGTTATCGAGCATCCGAGCATCACCAAACATATAAAGCCTTTGATAAATATTTAAGCATTAGAGTCTCATTTTCTTACCGGGCCCATGTGGATGGCGGGATGGTCTGAGCACAGCCCAACTTTGTGGAGACAGTGTGTAAGACTGGCAGGAGTCATCTCCCATGCCGGTATCTCGTGGGTGGCAGGGCCAGTGTCTCTGGCCACCTGAGTTGGTGGCCTGAGCTGTGTATTCTCAGGCCTAGGCTAGTCGGAAAGATGGTGGCTGACTAAGAACAAGCAAGATTGGGTGTACCATTTTAAAATAATTACTTCAACAATTGTGGATCATAAGATCCACTGACCCTAGAGGCACTGCAGGTATGGGTAGGGTGGTACACGTGTCCATTGATGATAGAGAGGAGAGATGCTATGTATACTCTCCGTGTACTCTGAACTATGAACATCTGGATGATTAGTAGCCCAACATTCCCTGAAAAAAACTGCAAGCCTGAGACAATCATCGGTCTGGTGCCAGGCAGGCCCAAATGGGCTCCCATGATCATTCTGGCACCAGGCAAGCTGGAAGGGGCAAACCATACCTGAGCTGGACATATTAATATCTGAGGGTTGTGCAGAACTGGTCCCACCCTTCACCTGGGCACTGTGGGAGAGCTGGCCTTGGAGGCATGAGAACAGGAGAGCTGGCTCTGCCCCTCAGCAGCTGCAGCACTTGGGAAAGTGGGCCCTGCACTTTGCCTGAGCAGCACAGTAGAGCTGATCCTGGTGGCAGGGGACTGACCCAGGTGGCCTGAGGGTGTGAGCTGGGAGAACTGGCCCTGTCACTTGTCTGCTGTGTGGTGACATGGGCAAGAGAGAGATGGCCACACCTCCCACACATACTGCTTGCACCTATGGCAGGCAGAAGCGCTGGCTCAGAGATCATCAGAGTGGGAGATCTGGTCCTGCCCCTCACCTACTGTATCGCTTGGGAGAGCAGGCCCTGTACCTCGCCTTGGCAGCACAGTAGAGCTGGCCCTGATGGCAGAGGTGCTCAAGTGTGTGAATATGTGAGAGCTGGCCCTGTAACTTGTCTGCTGTGTGACAGTGTGAACAGGGGAGAGATGCTCTCCCTAACCCTTGCCCCTTGTCACCTATGGCAGGCAGAAGAGCATGAGAGCTGGCCCTGCACCTCTTCTAAGCAGCACGGTAGAGCTGGCCCTGGATGTGGGGGTTGCAGATGAACTGCCCCCAAGGGTGTCAGTGCAGGACAGGTGGCCCTACCTCTTGTCTGCTGGGCAGTGGTGCAGACAAAAGAGAAACATCTTATTGTAGGACCGTGAAAGGCAACCTGGTTTCTGGTTAAGCACAGGTTGGAAATCGCAGGAGACCCCAGGTGATCCTAAGGGATGCAGGCGTTTCACCGTGCTCCCAGACTCCAGGCTCCTGACACGAGGCCACAACCTTCCATAGATTTGGGTTTTTTCAGTCATGTAGGACAATGCCTTCTATCCCCTCCACAGGTAGAAGGGGGTAACTACAGGCTATGGAGCCTCAAGACAGATCTCCATATTAATGAGGTAACTAAAGGCCAGAGAATCAAAGCCAGTTAAACACTCTTTCCCAGACTCTCATTCCTACAAAAGGTATTTAACCTCAGGCTCCCCTGAGGAAACTGGGGTACAGTTTTCATCTACTTTCTGCCATGACAGTAAACATCTTAAAACCATGGACCATTTCTCTTCAGCATCTGCAGTGGGGAACAGTGGAGCAGGCCTTCGTCTACAGAGCTGCTGTCTAATCTCTGTAAAAGACCTCTCTGTGTTCCCATCCGTGGAGACCAGCAACCCAACCCAAGCAGCCAAGCAAGCAGCCTCTACCAAGCCAAGAACTCTCATCTTTCCCCTTCTCCCCTTCAGCTCCGGGCCAATCCAGCCCATATACCCCCACTTTGTTCTCGGCTCTTCTGTGGCTTCTAGCAGCACCTAGAGGCCCAAGAGCCAAGAACCAGCCAGTCCCAGGCAGCCTTTTGGCCGGGGGAACCCCCAGACAACTCTAGCAGTCACCAGGGACCTCAGACTGTGCTCCCCCATCCCCAAAGTAGGGTCCTGCGGCTTCACATAGCCCTACACCCAAGCTGAGCTAACGTGAGGAGAGCACAGTCAAACTTCCGACGCCTCTGTCTCCACGAGTGGCCCTAGCCTCGGGGCGAGACAGACATGGGACCCATACTACAACTGAACACCTTATCCCTTGCCATCTATGGCAGGAAGGAGGGCTAAACCTGTTGTTATGAGAGTGAGGAAATTGGCCATATCTTTTACTAGCTGCAACACTCTGGAGAGCTAGCCCTGCAGCAGCAAGGCAAAACTAGTGCTGATTGCAGGGGTTGCTGGTAAGCTGGCCCCAAGGGCGTTAGAGTGGGAGGGTCGGTGGGCTGACCAGTTGAGATACCAATCAGTCTAAGATTCAGGGCTTTGAATTAGCCCACCCCAGCATCTACCCATCAATAAGCTGCTGAAGTGCATGAAGGGGTTGGTGCTACAGGATCTACATGACACAGAGCAACCACAGGATATCTGAGAGGAGTCCCAGTGAGGTTCTAGTATTGATGGTGTAACAGAAACCAGAGGCCTCATACCAGACCAATGAATCATTGGAATGAACATTTACAATCAAAGAATTATGGACAAAAGGGTATACTATGGGACACAGTACACACTACAGCTGTCACAATGAAATTTTTCCCTCTGTTAGGTGGAGGATGTTGCAAGGGTGGAAGGCAGGTAGGATTGGGGTACATGACGTGAAATTCATCAAGAACCAATAAATTTTTTTAAAGAAGGAACCACAAGCTCCTTCTGCTCCAACTTCCTAAATTCCTGAGTAGTGGGATTAAAGGATTACATTACTACACTAACTTTGCCATGTGACGTTAAAAGGTAGACCTCTAGAACATAGAAAGTAGAAAATACTGTTGAACCTGATTTGGGGTTTTGAAAACACAGAAAGCAAAGGACCTTCTGCTGTTGGGAAGGATCTTCTTGAACTCGTGGTTTCTAGTTTCTAAAATGGTTGAAGAAGTTACTGAAGAATAGGAAGGGAGAAGAGAGGAGTAAGAAAGAGAGGAGCAGAAGTCCGCACATAAGTCAAACGGGAATTAAATGATTTGTCCTTTGAATACATGTACGATATTTAGAATAGACTGTAGACTAAAGCACAACACTTGAATTAATGATTTTGGAAGTGGTACAAAATTACATCACGGTCAGATGTAGGGTATCATCAAGAAGGTAGTTTGCAGGTGGTACTTTTTTGAAACCATGTGAAATCTGCACCTCCATCTTTAAAGTTAGTATAATATCAATTATAATGTTTAACTTTGGCATTGAGTTGTACCTTACTTTTAAAACAAATCAACAAGGATAAATTTACATGTTCAGACTCTGAATCTATTTTCACTGACTTTATTTACATGTCTTCAACTGGTAGCAATGATAAAAACCTTATATTTAGATTGCGTACTTCCTCTCAGTTGCATTCAAATTTCAACAGTTTAAGAATTTCCTAACACTGTGCTTCACAATCCTTTCTGAGCACCAGAATCTCCTGGAAACTTTGTATCATATCTCTGCCCACAGCTCATCTGATTCAGTAGCTCTCACGTAGGACATGGGAACTGTTATATTAAACTGAAATATATTTCCTCAATAAAATACAAAAATCAGTCAAAAATGGTAACTACTGATCCAAGAAACAAGGAAGTATTTCTCAGGTGATTTGTGTCTGTCTTCTCAGTTCTTCAACACAAACTTCCGTAGGAAGACACTTCAAAGGGGCTTGCTTGAAAACTGAAAGAAGTGACTACAGAACAGGCCTAAACAATTAAGGCCTAAATTTTATATTTTATGGAACTACTTTATGAATTTTGAGTACTTTAGTTATTAACTCTTTTAAAAAACATATATTTGTGATACATAAGAAAAATATCCAAAAATTTTATTATAATATTATTATAATTACATACTATACTACTATAAAACAGTTGTGATATTAATTTCAATATTTTTTATTTTCTTATATTCTCTTCATATTTGAATTTGGAAAAATGAAAAAATATAATTTATCAAGGTACTGTAAAAACCTAGGTTGGATATGAAAACTATATATATTGCAAAAAATATAAGGTTATTACAAATTTGAGTGATTGGTGAAATTAGTATTTCTACAGAAACCTTTCTACTGCAATATCTATTTCTTTAAATCCATGGCCTGGGGCAAAACCCTTGGCTAGCTTACATGAAGCCCTAGGTTAGATCTGAGGCAACATACAAACAGATCTAGTCTGTGGTTATGATTATGTGACTAGTGTAATAACATTAGCTTACTTTTCTATTTTCTTTTAAAATTAACTTTACATCCTAACTACAATTTCCCCTCCCTTCTCTCCTCACAGTCTGTCCCCGACTCTTCCTCTCTTTCTCGTAAGTCTTGGCATATCAGTTTTGTGCATAGGTACGGTCTTCTCCTGCTGAGGCTAGATGAAGCAGCCCAGTTAGGGAAAAGAGTCCTAAGACAACAGAGTCAGAGACAGCCCCTGCTTCCACTGTTAGGAATCCCACACGAAAACCAAACTGTACAAGTGCTAAATATGTTCAGAGGGCCTACGTCAGGCCCATGCATGTTTTTGGATTAGTGAGCTCCTGTGGGGCTGGATTAGTTGATTCTGTAGATTTTCCTGTGGTGTCCTCGAACTCTCCAGTTTCTACAAGCCTTCTTCTCCCTCTTCCTCAAGATTCCCTAAGCTCAGCCTCAAGTTTGGCTGTAGGTCTCTGCATCTGTGTCCATCAGTCACTGAATGAAGCCTCTCTGATGACCACTGGTTAGCCGTTCTCTCAATTTCTGCTCCTTCTTTACCCCTGAACATCATCCTGACAAATTGTATGTTGAAGATTTGGTGGCTTATTTTTTTTTTTACCAAAAACCAGAGACTTAAAATTTTCAGTTTTTAAGAGCAAATTTCAGACTTGCTCTTGTCACATTTGCTCACCTAGGAAAGCACCAGAAAAAGAAGAATTGAAAAGCAAGTGCGATGGACCTTGTTTCCTATTTGCTATGGGAACTCTTGTGAGAATTTAAGATGAAGCCCATGGGAGAAGGAAGGAAGTGAATTTAATTATGTAACTCATGTCAACCAGAGGATGCTCTGTTAAAATAGTACTAAGACTTTATAACTGCTGGTGGAGTAAAATTAAACTTTTTAAAAGACCACACATTTAGAAATATAATATAACTAAAAATTCTATTTTGAAATGTAACTATAACTTATGAGTTTGTGCCTAAGTTAAACTGGTTTTATTGAATTATTCATTGTTCTGTTTAGTTGGGCTTCATTTAGGTTTTTCTCCTTCTTTGTTTGCTTATTTTTGTTTGTTTATATTTTTGAGTCAGAGTCTTACTACACAGTATAGGCTTACATCAAACTCACAAC